ACTGATGTTTCTAAAGCCATTGTAGTAGATGGCACATCTGCGAGAGCTGTGGGAGTGGTCCGACCAATTTTTTTCTCTAATAGTTGTGATTTTATTTGTAAAGAAGCTCATGAAGTCATTGCTGCTGAGATCTAAGGGAATGTTAAGCTCAACAGCACTGTGGCTCTTTGTCAGCCTGGCTACAGTGCTGAAAAGAAACCTGGGGTTGTTCTTATTTTCCTCAATCAGTGATGAATAAAATGCGGTTCTGGCACTATGAAGGGCTTTCTTATATGTTATTAAACTATCTTTCCAGGCTATGAAAAACTCTTCTGACTTAGTGGAGCGCTCCTTTCCATTTTTCGTGATGCCTGCTTTAAGGAACGGAGTTGCGAGCTGTACCATGGGGCTAGCCTTCTCTGTTTCACTGCCTTCCTTTTCAGAGGGGCAATGGTATAAGTGTATTACGCAGGAAGGCTGCAGTACTATCAACAAGATTATCGATTTGTGTTGGAGTAAAGTTAAGGTGGCCTCCTTCCACTGTGTTGGCAAACGGCACTGAAGTAGATAAAGATGGAATTATTTCCTTAAACTTGGTAACAGCATTGCCAGATAGACATCTGCTGTAGTGGAATTGTTTCCCACATAGAGTATAATCCATTAATGGAAATTCAAAAGTTATTAGAAAATGGTCAGACAGAAGAGGGTTATGGGGAAAAACTATTAAGTGTTCAGTTTTGATGCCATATGTCAGAACCAGATCAAGAGTGTGATTAAAACAGTGAGTGGGTTTATTTAGTTTGAGAGAAGCCAACTGAGTCTAATAATGAACAGAATGCATTGTTGAGGCTGTCATTGTCGGCATCTACATGAATATTAAAGTCGCCTACTATGATTATTTTATCTGTACTAAGCACTAAATCAGACAGAAAGTCTGAGAATTCACTTAAAAACTCTGAATAAGGAGCAGGTGGATGGTATACAATAACAAACAGAACAGGCTTTTGAGTTTTCCAGTTTGGGTGTGAGAGACTCAGGGTGAGACTTTCAAATGAGTTATAACTATGTTTAGGTCTAGGGTTGATTAATAGGCTTGAGTCAAAGATCGCTGCCACGCCACCACCTCGGCCTGTGTTTCGAGGGATGTGACAGTTACTGTAACTAGGTGGAGTGGCTTCATTTAGACTGACATATTCTTCCTGCTGTAACCATGTTTCAGTAAGACACAATAAGTCAATGTGATGTTCACTTATCAAATCATTCACTAACAGAGATTTAGATGAGAGAGATCTGATATTTAATAGTCCACATTTGATTGTCCTATTACTTTCTACTATAAGAGGAGTCATCTTAATTTTAATTAGGTTCTTATGAATAACTCCTCTGGAGTTGATTCTTGATTTATATAATTTAGGTGGGCGGGGGGCAGACACAGTCTCTATGGGGTACTGGGAGCGTTGGGTGGGTAGCAGCTGCAAAGAGACAGCAGAGAGGCGTGTAAGACTGCGACCCTGCATCCTGGACTCAACTCTGGGTTGTCATAATTTAGGTTGTAAAACAAACTCGTCCAGATTTCTAGATAAGAGAGCCGCACCACCCAAAGTGGGATGGATGCCATCTCTACTCATCAGACCAGGTTTTCCCCAAAATGTTTTCCAGTTGTCTATGAAGCCCATGTTATTTTCTGGGCACCACCTAGACAGCCAGCGATCATGGCTCATTACTGTGACAGGAATTTTTATAGTCAGGGAAAGGGGTATGTTCCTTCTTTTAGTCTGCAAGAGTCTCTGGTGTAACAAAATGAACACAAAATGAAATTAATACTTAGGTTTGGAATAAGGTGGGTGTTATTTTGGTGGAAAAGTACATGTTTCTTAAAACTTTAAATGTGCCAAATATCTGAGAAATGTTGCAATACATGTTGGTAACCACCAGATGGCATTTGTGGCACATCTTGACAAAGACAAGGAACCAGGACAGAGGTAAGGCAGGGAGGGAGGATTACAGACTTACCCTTTTTGGGTGAGCTCTGGGGGGAGGTGGGAGGGGAGGATAGCTGGGAGGAGGTGTTGGACACTGTGTCCTCTGGCTGCCTCCGGTGCCTGTCGCTCCCCTCCTCCGACAGAGACAGGATCTTCTTCAGAGACTGGGGGGAACTGGTGCCTGTGAACATTTGCAAGACGATGAGTGGAAGTAGCATATGGAATGCTGCCATTCCCTGTGGGTGATGGGATGCTAAGCTGCATTGTTTGGATTGTTTTTTTTTTTTTTTTTTTTGTATTTGCTTGTTGGCAGACAGCCTCTAGGTGGCAGCACTGTCATAAGGAAGCTGAGAAAAGCTGGCTCTGCTTTGATGTGGAAGAATAAACAAGGCAATGGGTGGCATGCAAAAGGCCATCAAACAAAACCATAATATGTACTCGGTATCTTCTTGTAGGCAAAATTATAACCACTATTATTAAGGTAACAGAAGCTTTGAATCATAAAGATTTTACCTTAAAGATGATGTGACATGTCCCTAACAATAAAATGCAAGTAGCAACTTCAGTGAACTGTACAGAGTAGATATTATGCTACTAGAACTACTCATTTTAATCAATTACTCTAATTTAGGTTTAGTACTTCACAAATTATTACTTAATACTTGTAAAGTCGCACATGCCTTATTCTAGATATATACGTATACCTCACACCAAAGAAGCATAAAAGAGAGTCTGGCTCTGAAATATAGCTTTTAAATACTGTGAAACTGATAAACATATAAAATATGAAGGTGCCTAAAAGTACTGGTAGTACTGGTAAAAGCTCCAATCTTACCAAAAGGTGGCAGATCCTTGACTGGCACTTTCTTTCGGGATGGGTAAAGGGCCACGGTGGGGACTTGAAGGGCCTGGTTTCCTTTGGCCAGCTGGCCCCTCTGTTGGTTGGCAGCTCTGGGCACGACAGGGGAGGTGTCTGGTCGTTTCCCACCCGCATTCTTAGGCACTGAACAGGGTAAGAAAGAGTGGATAAATGTTCTGTACCAAGTCAGATTTTAAGCTTTAACTGAAATATGTACAATTTGCAAAAGGCAGGAATTTGCTGTCTAGTTTAAGAAAACAACTGGTGATAGACAGTCAGTGCTGTTGCAGAGATCCAAACTCAGACCCTGAGAGTGTCTTTTTTTAAAACTTGCACTCCCCTTTTCTCAGTTAATGTATAAGCACTAAATCTGGCATTAATGTTAAACTGGCATAGTGTTTCAGCCATTTCTACTCCCTGCCTGGAGTCTGTTAGCAGTTTGCTCCGTTGGTCCCACCCTGTCTGCCTTTGGGCTGTTAATCCTGGGAACATGTGTGTGTCAAGAGAAACATGCACATAAATAAACTGAAGAACTCAATGCTTAACTTTTAAATATTCCACAAACAATGGCCCTACTCTGTGAGATAAGACAGAGTGGGATTCATCTTCAACATGACATTCATATTTTCTGTTGCCTACATTTTATTGTGCGTGTACAAAGTTGTGTCACAAACCTACATGTGCTAATGGAGGGTTCACACTGCAGTGAGAGTGTCTGCAGACTCTCCTCATTTGTTTCCAGGTTGAGGTTGGACAGGTACTGTTTGACCTTCCTGGCCATCTGGGCGTCCTCATAAAGCTTTTTGGCGTTCAGGAAGGAGCTGCGACGCACCCGCTTCTTGTGCCCGCCTGTCTGGGTGACGTCGAGCACTGCCGCATTGGCACTACCCTGGCTTAGAGACCTGGTCACACGAACGCACCACACAGAGACATCCACATAAACAGACAGAGGAATGTAGATTTGCAGGCACGAACGCAGACAAAAACACACAAACAAATAAAGAAAGTAGAGAAAAACTTATTAAGATGCTGCTTTAGTGTATAAATGAGCCTATATTTATGTACAACTGTACAGGTAGTACTACTGGGTTATACAGGGAGCATGGAATCCAAACTGAGACATGCAGAGGGCAGCTTTAGGTATTCCTCTCAACTTCAAAACATTCCAGACATTCCAAACAGCAGAAGGGTGGATGAATGACGATGGCTGTAGTGAAACAACAGGGGAGTGGAAAGGGGGAGTCTACGAGTGTAACTCGGTCATAGTTTACATTTCTGTGGCTTGAGTCAGTGCTGGTAGTAGTAGTAGTAGTAAAAGCCTTTTTTGCACATGATCTCAGCCAAATGGTATGCTTTAGTCTTGGTCAATGAGAAATCACACTTGTGCTCATCAGGTTTCATTTCCTCATTGACTGTTGAAAAAGTGTCACTTAAGTGGCACCAGTTGGCTAAATAAACTGTTTGTGCACATTGCATTCACCAGCTAGATAAATGAATAAAATAATTATGAATGCCTCTTGATCACAACTTAACATCTCATATTTCCAAGAGAAAACGGTTTCATAACTATGAGATGCAAACCGTGTAATTACAAGACAGTTTTCTCTTAATTACACAATTCTAAATTATAATTGTGAGATAAAGAAGCAAAAATGCTTCCTTTAATTTTCAGGTGAATGTAATGTACTTCTGTATATTTCCCATCAAATGAACAATATGGCATTTGACCACAAGAATGTAAAGCATGAAAAAACAACTTTGTATCTAGAATCTCAGCCTGTTTGCAGGTTTGATATATACAAATAAAACCCCCAAACAGGCAAAACTCAAACTGAAGCTGCAAGCATTAGTTAAAACAGCATAACACAAAAGGTCATGTTTGCTATCCCAAGGCTAGTGAAGGGTGTTTAGGATATATCTATTAATTTAAATTTGTTTATGGAATTTAAGATAGTCGAACTTTAGCTAATGTTAGCATAAGTGACCTTTTGCAATTCAAGCATGGTTAGCATCAGGCAGGGTCAGTGGGAGGATTAGACTCAAACAGGTTAATGAAAATAGAGACAAAAAGAAGCACGTCAATGGGCAGAAAAAAGGTGGTACAGATGGGGCAAAAGGTTGTAGGGTCACTAAACTTACCCTAAACTTCTCCATTTCTTCTTCCTAGAGGGTATGCACCATGAATAGAGAAGCATGGGGGGCAGTGGATGAAAAGAGAGAGAGAGAGAGAGAGGGAGACAAAGAGACAAAGCTTAGGACAGGAAAGGCACCAAGATCACCAAAGAAAAAGACCCACGTGAAAGTCAGCAGAGAGGGAATCAAATGCTAACACTCCACTAGGAAGAGGTCATTAGACACAGCAGCACTGTGCACATCTTGTGCCAACAGTGTGTATAGGGAAACAGTTGCCAGAGGGAACAGCTGCTTAAAGAAAAGCGTGATGAAGTTATCCGTACTGAATCTGTGTGAACCAGCTAACCCCAGAGGGCTCGGTTAGTCAGTGCTGATTGGTCCTAAAGGGAGCATGAAGGATTATTGTTAATAATCTGAGATCTGGCTTTGTTTCTCAAGATCTCTTTACCTGGTACGGAACATGAGGGCTGGGTCCATGTTGACAGAGGCCATGCGACCAACATGGCGAATTTCTTTGGCAATCATTCTCAGCTTCTCAAAGTTCACTAGGCCGTCCACTTTAGAGTCATTGCCTGAGAAATAGGGGGAAAAAAGAAAGTGAATACCAATACCCCACACATTACTCAAATGGCAAAACTAATACTGCTCAAGGGGGAACTAATACTGCTCAAAGGGGCAGCAGCAAACACAGCTCTACAAAGCCACAACTACAGATCTGGTTTAAATTAAGTTATAGTCACAATCTGACATAAGTTTTAGATTTTAAACAAAGTCACAGCAAACTACCTGTAAAGTTTTCAGTAAATATAAAAGACAGTCAAGTAGCTAACATTGATACCTGGAAGTTATTTTAATGCTAAAGTCAGCTGAGGACTTTAGCTAGCCTTGGCTAATGCATGAACGGGTTGCCATTTACCTTCATGTAGGAAGGTGAGGTCCTTCTTGATGACTGGGAACAGGGGTATGATTGGTGGCTGCAGGTTCTGATTGTTGAGGACATTCCTGTACTTGGCCATATTTCTTGAGGGGTCAAAAAGGTCCTGCAGGTCCCCGAACAGCTTTTCATACTTGCTAGGTAGCTTCTCCCAAGTTCCCCTCAGTCTAGAGACTGGAGCCAGGTTCAGACCACTGTGAGGAAAACCAAATTTACCATGAGAATAGCACTTCATCTGGATGCAAAGATGGAAAGGGGGAGTTTACTGCATATTCATTATTCTCCATCTTACCTGATAATGGCGAACATGGAGTTGAAGTTCTTGCACTCGCGGCAGTGCAGAGCGATTTTGATGAAGTGCTTGACAGTCTTCATGCGTTTGAGTTGGTTGGGCTCCCGTGTCACCTCCGTGGCCACCCAGAAGGTCTCGTGGTTAATGGCCTCCTCAAAACGCTTCAGGCTGGCCGATCCCATCTTAGAGCGCAGCTTGAATAGGTCGTCGATGTATTCGGTGGGCTCGATGGCACAGAAAAGTTCAAAAGCCCGCATGGAAAGCTGAGTGGCTACCTCCACTGTGCTGAGCTGTAACAGAGAGATTTGACCTTCTCGAAGAAGGTCCTGGGCATCCTCATCTGAGCATAATGTTTCCGTCTCCATGTTGCTTTTTAGGTAGTATCTAATGATGGAGGAAAACATGTTATTTGGTTTACATTTACACTGTATCAATGAATAATAAATTAGGTAATTGAGTCATTTAACTGAAGCTGATCTACTTTGATAACAGATTAATCACTTAAATCAAGAAATAATGGCAAACACTTGCTGGTTTCAGCTTTTCTAATATAAGAATATATCTTCTCTACTTTATATCATTCTAAACTAAATATATTAGATTTTGAAACCTGGCCGAACGACACAAGCAACTGAAAAATGAATCATTGTGGATTGTTGAAAAATATGACTGCAGTTTCTGATGTGTAATAGATTAAATGATCAACTGAGGTTAACAATGAAAGCTGTAATGTCTGTTGAGGGTAACTGTATTTTGCAAGAAGGTTCTGGTTTCAATATTTATGTAAGGAAGAAGAAAAAGGACAGAAAAGAGTAGTGCTACCAAAGAAAGTGTTTGCTAGCACATCCAACTAAAGATGCCATTACCTGCCGCTCAGCTGAATCCTGTCGGCTAGTTTAGAAAGCTGGTCTGGTAATCGTCTCTGTTTGATGACACCCTCTGGTGTGACGGACACCTCACACAGCGAATAAGCCTCAGGTGCTGCAGTCAAGGCAAACTCTCTGATGGCCTGGGCCACCACCTCCTTAGCCGTCGTGTCCTTCCCGATCATGATGTATCGAGACTGCTGGTCTGCTTTGAATACTCGTAATACTTGGTCCGACATGTCTGTGGGGAATACATGATGGTAATGAGTACACATTTAAAATCAGCATTTTTACTGTGAGATGTGAGCGGTGTAATGCAAGTAACACCAAAGATTTTGTTTTTCAAAACTTAGGAAAAGCTACTCCTTCCCAGCATTCCCTTAGAGAGAAAAAATAAACACCAGCAGATTTGCATGTTATCTATAAACTGCATTTGCAGTAATTCATTATTTTGATCTGAAGCACACCCCCATAGATCACATGACCCCAAATCTCCAGAGCAAAAAATCAACACACACAGAGAATTAAAAGGTCAGCAGTCAGTGCAACGCTATTGCTTGTTAGCTTTACTCAATTAGTGTTCACAAGCAAGAATGCAGATTAACTGGGCTTCTGTTACATCTGCAAACTAGAGCAGAGCAGCTAAGGAATGTCTGTAGGTCTGATTATAAAGGCTGACAGTACTGGTAAAAACGTGACTGTGCCAGAAGCGGCAGGTTCACGGGAAGAGAAGATACTCACTCAGTATGGTTGGGACTGGAAGGACATAAACAACATGTGATGGACAGGGGTTAATAAAAATATACAGTAAAAAATAAAGGCCTTATAGTCCTACCACTGGCTCTGTATAGTTAGTAGTATAATAACATAGACTGCAGTACTGGATGATCTGACTATATATATATTGTAGTACACTGAGATGAGAGAAATGCTTCAGCCCATCACATATGTCATTCTGGACAATGAGCAAGAATATAGTATAGCAGTATATGACCTAGAGTTGTTGAATCAGTTGTTGAAGATCGGGAAGCTTGATCCATTCAGGAGTTAATTCACTCCAACAACATTATATTAAGTTATTTTATCTATAAACTGTATCTCAGCTACTGACTATCAAAGTAAAAAATTAGTTTATAAAATTTCATCTGTGTAGCTGCTGCTGTGAACAAAGGATTGTCATTATCATGTGGAGTTTTGTGAGTCTCAGATTTTACACAAACAGTAACAAAAGCTCTTAAGAAACAGAGAAAGTCGCACACCTTCAATTTTATGACATCTGGGCAAATGTGCTCTGCTGATAAAGTTCATGTGATACGATCAAACTAGAAGCTGAGCTGAGATTTAGTCAACTGGTTAATCAATGAAATCTGTTCCATACTGCAGTGTGTATATA